CCAATAAATGGTTTAATTAATTAATTTAAGGGATAATCTTCTTTTCCACGTGGCGTGCTCTGATTGGAGACGAAAATATTTGCTCCCACAAATGCCCCCCAGCTTCTGCATGGCGCTTGTGTGGCATGTAGGAGATGAAATTATTTTTCGGACTCTCCAACTGTATCTGGGCTTTCTTCTGCGAGTTGGACTCCTTTTGCAGATCAGGTTCCCAATTAGAGTAGGCTTCTTATTGTTCTTGGAGTTGGATTCCTAGTAGGAATGAGCTTGCAATTCCTTCTTTGGCCTGGGTTGTCCAACTTGTATAAATACAGGGCTTCTCTTCACTCTTTCTTACATTGCAAACTTAACTTCTCTACCTTCTAGCTTGAGAAAGATCTTGGAGAATTTGTACTGCTTGTTGAAGAGAGGAGTTGCCGTGCACAAAGTAAGTCGAGCAAGCAAATATATATTCGTATATATTTTTGTCTTTTTTTTTTTTTTGGCAGCAAGGTTGTGGTCCAGCCGTATACTCCTAGCTGTGGCCTCGTGATTGAAGAAATTCCGCAAGTCTGCAGATCTGGAATGAAGTTGCAAGGCCAGCATGCGACTGAAGGCTTGGAGCTTGGATCTGCATTCGCTGGGCTTGAAGAGAGAGCACGGAGAAGCTGGGCTCGAAGCAGAAGGAGGGAAGCGCTGGTCCTTGAGGGCGACACGGGCCTGCGCTAGGCAAGCACGCCACGCACGTGGGAGCTGGGCCAAGAGGCGCGCGCTGATGGGCCACGTGTGCTGCTGGGATGGAGTTGGGCCGCATGCGCACTGGAGCGAACGGGCCAGGCAGTGCTGCGATGGGCTAGAGGCGCTAGCTGGGCTGTGATGGAGTTGGCTGGGCTGCTCGTGCTGGGCCAATTTTTTTTATTTTTTTATTTTTAACTGCTGCCTTTCTTTTTTTCTTTTTTCTTTTGTAGCTGCCAGCCCTTTTTTTCCTTTTCTTTGGTATTCTAACTTATAGAATTTTCTTCTTTCTTTTGCAGTTGTCCGTTGATCATGTCTTCTGAAGATGGAAGGAAGTCTCCGAGTTCTCAGGTGCCTCTGTATTTGTGGGGAGGCTCCCTAGTGCACAGCAAGAGATTCGTGGCTAACTTGCACCGCGTTACGACTGAAGCTCAGTTCCAAAAGTGGCGGACTGCTTATGCTTCTGCCATTCCAGATGACGTGCAGGTCAGGCTAGCGAACTCTCAAACTGACAACACGCCTTGTGTGGATGCGAACAATCCTGATGCTAGGATCATCACCTTCCGTCCTTTTTATTTTTCCTTGGGCTTCACATTCCCATTGTCAAGGCTTTTCAAGGAGGTGCTCTGTGCCATGGAGTGTGCTCCGAGTCAGTGTACTCCGAATGTCTACCGGGCGATCATGTGTTTCGAGAACTTGAGCCGTTTCTTCATGCTGGACTGTTTGAGGCACTTCGAGCGGTATGCCCAAGTTCGCGTCTACAAGGCTAAACTGTTTGACAATCTCAGTCAAGGAGATCATGTGTGGTACGACGACGTGTTGGAAGTCAGCGGAAGGTGGGAGGGCGACGTTGGTACTGGCCCACTTGTTCCCATCACCTATTGTAACGGTACGTCTTTTTGCGGCTTTTGATCTACTCTTTTTTTTTATTTGAATCTCTTGAAGTGTGGCTGACTAACTTCTGTCTTCTGCTTTGTAGTGAATGACATTAGCAAGAAATTGAAGTTGGGGCCTGACATGGCTAAGGTCCGCCATGCTTTGAACATCCCCTCAAAGTTTCGCGAGTGGCGTTGGTTATTGAGCGAGTATCGGGAGGAAGACGGTGGACTGCCCCCTACCGAGGATGTCGAGAGATGGAAGCAGAATGGTCCGGACCCTGATGATCTACCTGCTGGATATGAGGAGTGCTCTGATGAACCCCCATCAAAGAGGAAAGCTGATGTCAAGTCACGGGAGAGGAATGCGTCTCCATTGAGGAAGAGGTCAAAGTTCCCTTCCGCCGAGAAGACCCAAGTAGGAGCTACTTTCGTGTCATCTGCACGGGTTAAACATCTTGTTGGTGCAGATAGCAAGAAGATTGGTGGTATGCGCAACTTTAGGGATGTCCCCCTTAAGCCTCTTGCTGATGAGTTTGGAGATCGTGATCTGCTTCGTGAGATAGTCCGTGCGCGATCTAGTTCACCTGTGGAGAGGCAAAGAGATGCAGATGTTCCTATCCGAAGTTCGGGTCGTTTGCACCAGTCGAAGAGCGGAGGTCGATCTGGGAGGTTTGCTCATCCATCCAACCACCATGATCCTGCTGTTGGGTCACGAGCAGTCAAGCGTGGAGTTGATTCTTCGTTTCCAATTTCTTTGGAAGTGAGGTTGGCAGAGGCTAAGAATGCAAGAGAGTCATCTGCTCGGGCGAAAGGTTCTTCTTCAACATTCGCAGTTGATCCCCAGGTGGACAAGTCCAGCCCTGCAGGGGATGCAGGAGTGTCTGATCTGCTCAAGACGCATTTTCTATCAAGTCCATCCGCTTGTGTTGGGCTGGTTGATCAAATCCGTCAAGCTGGTGATCTTGGTACCTTTTCAAGTCTTTCCTTGGAAAAACAAAGGGAAGCCACACTTCATCTGCTTCAAAAAGGAGTTGTTTTTGCTGCTGAGACCATTCGGAATTCGTCTGCTGTTGCCCCCTCTTCTGCTCAGCTCAGTGAGTTGGAGAAGAAGAATGCCGAGCTAGTTTGCAAGCTTTCTGCCGAGCAGGCCCGCTATGAGAAGAAGACGTCTGACTTGAGGGCGATGATATCCGAGCTGAAGAGTTCCCTTGCTGAGAAGGATTCCGAGCTTAACTCCTCCACTGCTGACTTGGCTAGTCGGAAAGATGCTTACTTCCATCTTGAGCGCAAGAATGCCGACATCTCTCACAGCTATGACAAGCTTTTGGCTAGATTTCGTGCCTATCATGAGTCTGCTGAAGAATCCAGGTCTGAAGCTACCGTGGATGCGTACAAGCTGGGCTACATGGACTGCATAAATAGAAAAGATCCATTCTTTGCCATTGGAGATGAAGACATTGAGATGCTTTGTCCTGAGCAGGTTAATGCTGTGGACATGGAAGGAGTTGAAGAGCTGGTGGCTGAAGAGGCAGTAGCCGATGGAGCAGGAGAGGATGCAGCCGACGAGGCAGTGGCCGATGGAGCAGGAGAGGATGCAGTATGACTATCTTGCCTCCCTTAGGAAACGGATAGGAACCTGGATACCTCCCTTAGGAAATTCCTGGCGCACCCTTGTTGTTAATATTATGTTAACTCGCAATTGTACGGGGCAATTAGTAGTATAGCAAGACAAGTACGAGGTCGTACCCAC